CCTTCACAGCAGTATATGATCACATCAATAGTGACTTCCTCTTCTCATCCATTAGAAACTGCCTATCAGGCTCCAAATCCATTGAATGCATCAATCTAATAGAGGAACTGTAGCGATCTACAGAATCTTACATATCTGGTGAGGACCCCTGTATGGAAACATTTCTGACCTCATCAGGCGTAGGACAAGGAGGAAATGAGAGCCCCTGTCTATTTAATCTCTTCCTAAATGATGCCCTGCATATTTACAAACACAGATCTGATGAGATGGGCATTCATCATTTAAACATTTTATACCGCATCCCAAATGAATCTAGCAATAGAAAACAATGATTCTGCTTTCCCATCTGCGGTCAATATGCTGATGATGAGGAGGTGGGGCTATACTGATGACAGAGATGTTCATAGTTGGGATAAGAATGTTCTTGAACAGAAAATCAGCATTCTCAATCAAGTATTTCAAGAAATGGAACTCAAGATAAACATTACAAAAAAGAGAAATTATGATCTGGAGTTGGAATGAAAGCAGAGATGGCACTAACCCTGAATCCATCATAGAAATTCAGGATATGGAATTAGTAAATACTAAACACTTCAGATACCTCGGTGTATGGATCAGCTGTAACAAATTAAGTATAAGTGAAAAAAATTTGAACATAGAAAAAGGATTGCCAGAGGTAGTTTCACCCAACATTGGAAATTGCTACAAAACTAAAACATCAATGTGAAGACTCAAGTCTTAAAAAAGTCTTGTCAGATTGAGACTTTCATATGGATGCCATGTATAGTTTCAAGCTCATTCAGAAATATCTAAAGTATCAACTGGATACAACCACTTCTTAAGATCAATGGTGAAAAAAAAGCTTTGAGTGAGTAAAGGCAAATGTCATTCTTCTTTGAACATTGTGTTGTAGCATACCTAAGAAAGGAAACCCCCACAAACGATAAAAGCTACTGGACTTGAGAAACCTGTTTTCCTCAAAAAGTTTTTTAAGAGAAAGATTTTATAAATTTCAACCCAAAACAGTACTGGCCGCTTAGTCAATGAAAACCAAATGTTTCCTTGTAGGGAAATGGCTAATATTACCATTACCATATATCATTAGACTTAGATGACTGCAACCAGAAGATCTCTATATCCTAATTAGTAAGGCAGTTGACACATTAAGACAGGCTTCCCAAGAAAAAGAGAGGAGAGTTTGAATCTTCCAAGAGACTCATTCTTTATTTCCAATCTATGTTGCTTATAGACAAAGAGTTTTGATGAAATGTAACTGAAATAAAGATGAAAGATATATCAGTTGAAAAATGAATAATAATTAACAATGTATCATCAAAAAACATCAGAAAAAATAACCTGCTTGACTCTTTGTGTTTTTAAAAAGCAAAATTTTAGAGAAAAAATTTTCCAACCAAACTTGATAATTAATTCTTCAAGTTTCCTACACAGTTCCACACTTTGTCTTTGGTGAACTTAGTTAATTTCAGATCCTTTTTCAGAAAAAAATATAACTAATTTCATTCAAAATACATAAGAATTAACTTTTTTTATTGTCATATGTCAAATATGTATGACACACTGACTGATGTCAAAGGTTGACTGGCATCTACTTTTTATTTCTAAAGAAAGAAAAACATTTTCATGTTAAAACAATGCCAATACCATGAATTATCTGGTTTGTGCTACTTATGGAGTATAGTGTGAGAGGTGAAATTGTAAGTTTGGGTGGAATTGGTCATTAGGTACAGTCTTAGGTCTGTTTAACTTAAGTGATAATTTTGATAAAGGAATTGTTTGTTGGAAAGAGTGATGCAAAGCAGATTTTAATGGGTCAGGTTTGTTTTGATCAGGAATATAACACACTTTCAGATAGAATTGACAATGACACCTGTGATAATCCGATCAAATGAGGGTGAGATTCTGGAACATGTTCCACTGAAGGTTGATATGGATGATACAAGGCCAACATTTTTGATTGGCCCACCAGTGAAAGAAGTGCTGGGATAGAGCTTCTTGTCTCCCCTCTAATACTTATGACACTGGGCCTTTATTTTGATTAGCCCACCAATCATATTGGGTTCTTGGGGGTTTTCCTTCTTCCCTTTCAAGGAGTATGACACAAGACCATTGGCTAACCAGTGTCAAGCATTATTACTGGCTGGCTAATCAAAGCAGTGCAATTGGGGTTTGCACCCCTATAAAAGCAGTTGCCAAAAGAGCAGAAGTAAGATCGAACTGGTCTCACCACTAGTAGACCAACACTCTCCTTGCCAGATGATCATGGTGATTCAATCAGCTAAAGACCTGCTGTCTATGCCATTTCTGGAATTCCCTCAATCAACTGCCTTCATTTAATTAGTTGAACATCTGTGGGCTGTTTAGCTATAACTGAAACCGCCAGTCAACCTCTTCCTCCCAGCTTAAGAATTCCTTATATGGGAAACTTCTTCAAATCTCTTTTGTTTATATATTCATGATATTAATCAATCATAGTACCATAAATAAAAATTGCTATTTTTACACTTGTTAATGAGTGTTGTTGAAGTTAATTAAATTTCAAGCATAGCCAGGACAGAGAGGAGTCAAGCCTGATCTTTGACAGTTCTTCACCAATATTCCTACAGATACTGAAACAGAACATGGAGATGCAAGATTGGTACAGAGCAGGCTCACCAGAGATAGACCAACAGACACAGACCAGAGTAAGAGTGGCATTCAGCAAAGCACATGGCAACGGGGTTATACATGTACTACCAAAAGTTTGTTGTATTTTCAGGCATTTAACTGCATATTTTTAACCCTGACTAGCAGTAGAGCCCGGCGTTGCCCGGGGATATAACAGTAAGAGATAGATCAAGTATCCACCATCATAAAGACTGAAAAATAAAATTGACAAAGATTATTGTTTAAGGTTGACGGACACGCATGTCTTAATTAGTTTTATTTTTTTTTTTTTTACGAATTGGTCAAATTCAAACAAAAACATTGTTTTCAATCGTTATGAGTCTCTACTGATTGAATAGAATTTTATTATAAACAATTGTCTTGTAAATGGAATTTTTTAAAGCATTCTGAATGTAAAAATAAAGAAAAAAAGTGTGCAAGACAATAAGAAACACTACATGCCAAAAAAAAAAGAAGTTTTGTTGAAATCAGTTGAAAAATGTAGGTAGCCTTTCTGTAATCTTTTAGTTTTTACAATTTATGATTTTTACTTATTGAATACAGTAAAAAAAAAGCATATTTTGCTTGTGGTGATTCATAATTAGAATTCTGATTTGAATATATTTTCCACTCGTTTCTAATACAAAAAATATTAACTTTATTTGGGTTTATTAATTATGATCTAACAAATCTTATTCATTTAGTAGCCTTCTCTGTAATATATAATAATCTTTTACAATTTATGATTTTTACTTATTGAATACAGTAAAAAAATTGGACACCATGTGTATTTAAAGTAGTTTCCTGTTCCGGTTATTATTTTTAGTTAGGACTTGTGTATGTTTAGATTTCATTATCTTTCCCTAAAGATAAAGAATTTATGTTTGTATTTGTACAATCAGTAGAGATCGTTAGATTATTGTTTAAGGTTGACGGACACGCATGTCTTAATTAGTTTTTTTTTTTTTTTTTTTTTTACGAATTGGTCAAACCCAAACTCAAAGAAAAACATTGTTTTCAATCGTTATGAGTCTACTGATTGAATAGAATTTTATTATAAATAATTGTCTTGTAAATGGAATTTTTAAAGCATTCTGAATGCTAAAAATAAAGAAAAAAGTGTGCAAGAGAATAAGAAACACTACCTGCCAAAAAAAAAAATAAAAGTGAAGTTTTGTTTTATCGGCTAAAAAATATAGGAAATCCGCTCCCATATTTAAAGTAACCCACACACACAAACCGATGTGAGTTGTCCCCCTTCCATTTTCACGATGTCTCTTAATCGTGTTTTCAAATTGATTTTGTGCAAAAACAATTATATTTTTCCCATTTTTGGTGCTGTTAGAACCACCACAAGGTAATTTTATGTAATCCTGTGAAGTTTTGTTGAAATCGGTTGAAAAATGTAGGAAATCCGATCCAATATATAAACGTTACAGACACACACACACACACACACACAATCTGCGTTTTATAATAAGTAAGATTTTGTTTTTTGATATTCAAATGTTTTGATAAAAATTTCACTCTGAAAACTGTAAATATGAACATTGCTGTGGCAAGCCTTACTGTTAAGGAGAAAACGTGAAAATGACAAAACAAGTGAAAAAATCTTGCTGTGGTTTACAAAGTTTGATTGCTTCCTTGTTCTGGTGTATTGTATATCAGTCATGGGAAACTGAGTGTTTGTTTGGGGTATAACATCAGGTCAATATAAACAGAGAAAATCAACATGCATATGTAGTTGAGAGAAATATTCCCCAAATTATCATATTGTAATAGTTGAGAGATGGTCTATGCTGCTGCATGTTCCATTGCTGGCCAAAGGCATCAATATTGATGGCAGTGCTCTGATAACCTGGGTAGTTGTATAGTCTGTTGAGCTTTGGTCAGTCTTGCTTGCTGTGGGGGATCCATCACTAATTCTAGTAGGGTTGGATCTGCCCTCTGTATAAAATCAATATTGGCTTTATAGTCAGTAAATCAAAAACGGTTGCCGTGCAAACCATGTGAGCCTTTTTCTGATTGATCAGAAAAGAGATTTTATGACCCTAGTATTCTTGGGCAGCATTCTGGAAATGTGAGCATGGAACCAAAGCAAATGAAGGTCTGTTTTTGTCATATTATAATCTATGGATGTTGAAGTGAGCATTTCAGTTTGCGCTAAAGAATTAGAGTTCTGATAGGGTACAACATCAATTGGTGAGATGGCCTCTCCAGCTCTATAAGATTTGTTAAGGATTTTTTATTTCTGATTTTGTCCAAAAATGTTATTTATAAATGAGATATTCTTTTGTTTCTTTGTTGCAAATTAACAATACAAATTCTCATTGTAGAAGCAGAGTTGCAATGGCTACTCTAAGTGATAATACGTTGATGGATTCATCCAATGTGGGAAATGAAGACTTTTCAAGCAGGAACTTGAAGACTTCTTTGGAACCACGTAAGTGTCTTTCTTCCTGCTCTAAAGAAAATGGTGAATTTATCTTATGACATCTTTTCTCACCATATATTTAAATGATCTTGCATAAGGGTTGAAAGAAAATCTGCAGAGAGTTAATATAAACAAAATAAATTTTGATATAACATCAATCAGCTAAGTGACAAATTTTATATATATTAACCCTATAACACAATATATATAGATACAGAAGGAGAGAGATAAAAGTTCAAAAGTTAAATGATAAATCTCCTGGAGCATACAAAAGAGAGTCTGGGAGAATGAAAATATATATATATATATATATATATATATATATATATATATATATATTGTGAGACCAGAAACTACCTACACAATAGATTCTTCCAGGCCTATATTAAGTAGGCAACATAGCACTCTAGAGAGTGACAGAGAGAGACAGTGAGAGTCTAGTACGACTACCAGTGTTGGACACTAACTTATAGTAAGCTCCGCTTACACTATCTTTGTAACCTGTTGTTAATATATCTTTCTTACATCTAATCTGTGTTCCGTGTTCTCCTTCTGTGGTCCCAACTTTGGCCCCACATCAGTGGCGACGAGGATTCTAGAAACCCACTCACGGTGAAACCTAAATACCTTACCAATCCCACATCTGGTTTGACGAGGAATTCCAGAAACGCATTCACGTCGAAAAACCATAATACCTTGCCAGTCCCACAACAGTGTCGACAGAAAAGATTTGAGAATTTCGTTCTCACCATATCAATAGCGACAGTACTCGAAAAATACACAAACTCCACACATTCCCACAGCAGTATTGAACGTGAAATTAAGCTGGTATTAATACATTAGCGATTTAAAAGCTAAACACCCAGCGTATATATATATCCCAATACCAAACACCACTGATGAACTAGCAATTTGACATCTACGGAATATTAAAGTCTGTCCAAAATACGAGAACCATTTCTAGACACCCACACACACAGGAAAAAAAAAAGACACTACAAGAGCAAGTACTACCATTGTACTCAAGTTTTTGAAAAAAACTATCGAAAAATTTTTTTTTATGTAACTGAGTTGAACTCGGGCATAAAATTATTCTCCCCTCAAATTCACTGAGGTGAGTTTTCACTTTTTATAACTCTTTAAAAAAAAAAAATACATAAGTGTGGTGAAAATTTATTCAATTATGTCAAAATTAACAGAACCATGGGAAAAAAAAAAGCTAAACACATAATTAGTTTAGTTTAACTATTGTCTGTCCATATATTTCTGTAAAAGAAAAAAAAAAGAACAAATCTATCAAGATTTTTTTTGTGTACCTCCTCTTAGTACACGTGTTTCAAAGCAACAAAAAAAGCGCTGTCATTTTTATTTAAATAAATATGGAAGATTTGCAAAAAGTAGTTGCCCAAATGTTAAAACTAAATTTGGATCAGCAGCAAAAATCAGAAGAAAGACAACAACAACTATTTTTGGAATTACATAAACAACAAATGGAATGCCAAAAAATTATGCTTCAGAATGCTGAACTACAACAGAAACAACTTAAAGAATTACTCGTAAATGCATTAAAAGGCTCAAACTCTGAAAAAGATACAATATTCTCCCAGAGTATAATCTACAATTCAATGGAAACCTTTGAATACGTACCAGAGGAACACAAAATGTTCCAGGCTTTTTACAGGCGTTACGAAGATATTTTCAACGTAGACTGTGAACAATGGCCCAGTAAAAAAAAGGTACGTCTACTATTGAGAAAACTGGGAACTACAGAACATAGTAGGTTCGTAGATTTCATACTACCCAAGAAAACGACTGACTTGGATTTTTCAGAGAGTATTAAGCTCCTATCGGAACTATTCGGGCCTCACACAACCTTGTTCCACAAACGTTGGAAATGCCTGAACACAGTCAAAGACAACCAGCAAGATTTTCTAATGTTTGCAGCATTGGTAAACAAGCTCTGTAATGATTTTAAACTAGCCGAACTGATTGCTGATGATTTTAAGTGCTCAATTTTTGCACAAGGTCTAGTATCAGCAGAAGACACCAAAGTCAGATGACGGGTACTGACCAAGCTTGACAACGAACAAGGATTGACTCTCCAAAAACTGGCAGAGGACTGTCAAAGAGTAATATCTGTAAAGTGTGACTCAAACACTATCGAGGAATCAGGTGTGACTCAGATTAATAAAATCAGAAGTAAGTCTACCGTCTATTCCCCTCAAAAAGACAAAAGGCAAATCTCGTGTCCTAAATTACGCAGTAACCAAAACCCAAATAAGTTAAAGAAACCACCCGGACCATGTTACCATTGTGGTAAATGGCATTGGATGAAATTCTGTCCAGTTAAGAACAAAAAATATTGCAAAAATTGCAATAAAAGTGGGCATACTTTAACTTCGTGCTGGTACGCCAACAGAACGAGAAAACCCAAAAATAAAATTAGGCAAGCTGAATCTGATAATATTGTCGATAGGAATTTAAGAAAATATGTAACTGTGGATATTTTCAATAAGTCCATTAAATTCCAGCTTGATTCAGGTTCTGATCTTTTAACCATTAATTGGCGTACTTGGCGAAAATTGAACAAGCCGACCTTATTAAAAACGGATAAAACAGCAAAATCCGTAACTGGCGAAAAAATTAACATTTTAGGCGAGATAATACTTACAGTAACACTAAATGGAGTTAACAAAAAGCTCAAAGCCTACGTATTAAAAACTTGGAAAAAATTTGGAACTGATTGGATAGAAAAATTCAATCTTTGGGATTGCCCAATGAGTACATTTTGTCGCAAGATACAAAGTACAATGTCCAATTTGGTAAATCTAAAAAAGGAACTCAAACAACAATTTCCCCAGGTTTTTTCTGGCGGCCTTGGGAAATGTACTAACATGAAAGCTAAGTTCAAGGTGAAGGACGGTGCACAACCAGTATTCAAAAAGAAACGGAATGTCCCTTTCACTGCTGTAGAGCAAATCAATAAAGAGTTAGATAGACTTGAACAAGCAGGTATTCTGTCAAAAACAGATTTCAGCGAGTGGGCAGCACCTACGGTCTACGTAAAAAAGAAGTCCAATCAAATACGAGCCAACGTGATCAGAAACATGCCGGCCCCAGATAACGTTCAAGTGTTACAAAACTTCCTTGGCCTAGCTAACTTTTACCAAGGGTTCATTAAGAACATGCAAAATTTGAGAGGGCCTCTCAACCAACTTTTAAAAAAGGACAAACCATGGTCATGGACCCTGGAATGCCAAGACGCATTCGAGAAGATCAAGAAAACCCTTACTTCAGACCTTTCCCTCACCCATTAAGACCCTAGTCTCGACATCATAGTCGCAAGTGATGCAAGCTCGTACGGCATTGGTGTTTGCATTTTACATAAACTGCCAGATGGCTCGCGAAAAGCTGTGGCTCACGCATCAACGCTAGTTCGATCTCAACATGCCCCAAGTCTCTCCTGAAGTGTGATGCTCAGGAAGGAAAAGGAAATTTACTCAACCGCTCGACGTAAATCCCAAGAGGAATAAGTATTAAGTTTTATTTTTTTCTCTCCTTTTCAAAAAGAAAACTCTTTGGAAGTGGGGTATTGTGAGACCGGAAACTACCTACACAATAGACTCTTCCAGGCCTATATTAAGTAGGCGACATAACACTCTAGAGAGTGACAGAGAGTGACAGTGAGAGTCTAGTATGACTACCAGTGTTGGACACTAACTTATAGTAAGCTCCGCTTACACTATCTTTGTAACCTGTTGTTAATATATCTTTCTTACATCTAATCCGTGTTCCCCTTCTGTGGTCCCAACTTTGGCCCCACATCAATATATAAAAAGGGTGTGGTGGATAAATAGTCATTAAAATTATACAAAAATTAAAAATTTTTCCATTCTGTCATAGTTTTTACCCTAAAATTGTTCTTGATATACAGTAATGGGAAACAAATATTCGTACACATACAAATTTTTAATTTTTTGTATTTCCAACTAATGAATAAGCATAGTTTTCATATAATTAACTGTACACAGATGTATAATAACTAAATATGTATAGAAAACAGAAAAAATTGATTTAATAGAAATAAATCCCATTTATCCATTTTAGTGGGTGAAAAAAGTATTCGTAAAATCCAAATTTCAGATTTTAAATATTTTAAATTGCTTTAATACTCTAGATTATTCAAGTGGAATATTCTAGAATGTTCCAATAATTTTATCAGTAGTTATTTTTAGCCTAAAAAATACAAACAGAACATTCTGAAATTGATATTCCTGCAAGGTTATCATCATGGCAAGAGGTAAAGAATTGACAAATTTGAAAAAAGAACTGATTGTTAAACTCTGGAAATAAGGTACAGGAAAATCTCAGACAACCTGAATATTACATTTCCTACCATTAGTTTATTCATTGCAAGGTACAAAAAAAAACCTCAAAACTGTTGAAAACTAAAGGAGAACAAGTGCTCCGCAGGAAATTAATGCGTCAAATTAAACAAAATCCAATGGCTACTCATCAAGAGTTGCAGGATCATTTGCTTTCATCAGGAATCTGTGTCACTAAATAGACAATAAGCAATGAAAGTCATAGGGAACAATCTAAAGTCCCACTCCCCTCAGAAAACTCCACTGCTATTGAAAAGAAACAGTGATGCCAGGGTGAAATTTTCTGAGATTCAATATTTCTTGTAGTGTTAATTTTTGTTTCTGTTCAAGTTTTGATAGAATTCTAGCACATATTTCTGTGTCTTTTTTCACCATTAACCTTTGAATGAAAATTAACCCGGAGTCAGTTTGTTTAATTTGAATCTTTTACACCCCTTGTTAATTCCAGTATATGCAACAAAATCTTTGTCTTTTTGTTCATCAGATTCATACACTTCCAGCATGTATTGAATAATGAACTTTTCTCACTAAAAGTTTTAGTCAGAATATTTATTGTTTCTTCAAAGCAAATTTCTCCTGGTTTTTTTGGTACTACAAAATTACAGTAATTTTCATGTTCTACTG